TCTCTCTCTCTCTCTCTCTCTCTCTCTCTCTCTCTCTCTCTCTCTCTTCGCCGAACAATATGTGATTCGAATATTTTCGTTTACAAAGTGTGCTTTTTTCCCGTCGTATCACCGTGTGTAATGCAAAATCGATGAATGGGAAAAATGAGCACTGTTTGTGTTGCTGCACATCTATCTGTTATTTCCGAACAATGAATCGAAAGCGCGAGGTGAATTGAAAGATTTTTCATGCTTAAACTTAAGAATCTTTTTCCTGTTGCTCCTGTTCGATCGAACGAATGGTAAAGAAGAAAATGTTTACTGTATTTCCATCCCTTCTTTGTGTTATGTGTGAGTGTTCCATCTGCAGGCAGGTATTATGCGTGGTGCATAATACGAAAACAATCAACAAAAGATTGAACGAAATAAAAGAGAATAAATATATGGAAAAAAAATCGTATTCCATACAGAATGAAAAATGAAGAGAGAGAAAAAAATATCGACCTACGACGAGAAAAAAAATGGAAACATTTTTCTATTCATTTTTTTTCTGTTGCTTCTCTTACCTTGTTGCTAAATCCCTGTGTACAAAGTTCATTTGTTCCAAATATTTCATACCCGAAGCTATTTGTGTAGCAATGTACATTAAACAGCCATAACTGTTTGAGTGTGTGTTGTGATGTTGTTGTTGTTTTTGTGCAGCCACCGGGAAAAGCGTTGAGTCATGACGACGACGGCGGCGGGACGAAGGAAGAGAAAGAGAGAAAAAAAATTTAAAATGAAAAATACATAGTTTATAAATATTAAAATATTGTTTGTTTCTGTGTAGTCTTTGTGTGTGTTCGATTCGGTTACGCTGTATAAAAGGACACATATCCAATTTCGATGTGAAGCTTTTTTGTTTGCATTCGTTCCGTAAGCAATTTTCATAATTTTTCTTTTTGGACTGTCTCATTTTGTTCACTGTGTTGAGTTTTTGCCGTTTGTTCTGGTCGGAAAATTGTTCGTTGGCCGACAGTTCCAAGCTGAACGATCGGTAAAATGAAGCGCATAAATAAACGATGTAGCAAACGCATGAATTCGTTATCAGAAGGAACGGAAAGTCCGGACAACATAAGCACACAAACGAAAAAAAACAACAACTCCAATTTATTATTGTTTATGAAATAGCGTTCGAAATCAGAAAAACCGTGTTCCATGCTTGCTGAACATGAATCGTTTGCTTTTGCGCATGTTCATTTTTTGATTGAGTTCAAAAAGAGAAACGAACGGAATGGGTTCACATTGGGCAAAATTGATGACGTTCAAAAGAGTTTTATATTGAAATGAAATATAAATCACGAAACAAAGGATCTGAATTCGAATTAAAAAATAATTTCGTTTTTCTGTGTATGTATTTTCTTTTGATTCCGGGGCAAAATTGAAATTGCGATTGAATGTGACACACAAATCGGAACGAACTCGGTTACTTTATTCTTTGTGCTTTGGTGTGTTTTTATGTTTTTTCATTTGTTTATTTGTACGAGGAAATGTGTTCATGGGCTGGTTTGGGAGTGAATTAAAGCGTTGATAGTGATTAGAAAGGATTACGATGTGATCCAATGGCCGTAGACCGAATCGAAATGTGATCTAATTTTCCATGATTACTTAACGTTCTACAATTGCATAACACAAAAGAGATATACACATGAAACGCACTAACTAGCCTCGTATCGAGAGCCAAAAATAAGCCTGAAAATGGGAAAGAAAAAAATATACGAAGGATCATTGGATACATACCTCAGTGATTTGTTCTGAACGCCAACCGGTCCCGTTTCAGCGACATGCTCTTGTAGAAATTGATTTAAATCCCCTTGGCAATCGCTATAATCGAGCACAATACAAATTGGTTCATCGCGTAAACAGGCGCCTAATAATGGAGCCACATTCACATCCTTTAAGCGACCCAGGTGTTTTGCTTTGGCACGAAATTCTTTTTTCGTATTCTCCGAAACGCCGGGCCGTAATGTTGCAACCGCTACCAGATTATAGCTGCACGTTCCACACCAGCAGGACAGAGTGACAGAGCACGGGGTGGCAATGGCAGCGACAAAGAGAAAACGAGAAAGTACAATTGCACAAATGAAAATTACGATAAATTGGAAAATAAAAGAGTCTCGTTGTTTTTTTCTTTATTTCACACGACAGACAGTCACATACACTCACACATATACAAAATGGGTACAAATTGCGGTCGCTACTTGTACGCCGGAGAGAAAAGAACAGAGCGAACAAAAAACGCGCGACATACGGCAATAATCAAAATTACAATATTAAAGTGCAGCCGGAAATGAAAGAATGAAAATGCGCTCGCTTTTGTTTCGCCCGCACCACAAGCCGAACGAACGCGCGAATCCAAATAGTAACGCGGTCGAATGAAAGCGATACGGATTTTAATATGCAAATAAAAGGACACAAAGAATGGAGCGCGCGCGAGAAAAAAAATGAATGGAAAATGGTTGGGTTCTTCTGGTTAACGAAATAGACTCAATTTTAATTCAACGTTAAATTATAAAGGCGTCCTTTTCCTCTGCACCTCACAATAACCATTCTATTTTTATTCCATTTCAAGCTGCATGCATTCAGGTTTTTTCCCTCTCGCTCCCACTCTCTCTCCCTCTCTCTTTCAGTTGTCCAAAAAGCGGGCAAACAACACAAGAGATACTGAACGATTTGCAAATAAATTTCAATGAAGTGTGCACCGAACTATCGTTTGATTTGCACATAACCGTTTCGCTACACTTGCCACCAATTGCTTCATTGTGTCGAGCAAAGTGTGTGCGAGTGCGAGTGTGAATGAGAAAGTTTGTAATTGAAATTAATGCCGGGCAATATCCATTTTCGATGCGAATGACTGCTGCTGCTGCTGCTACTTGCTCACGAAATCCTTATAAAGTTTGAGTACTCAATGCGACAATCGAAAATGTCGAATGAAAATTAACTGCATCGATACACAGAGAGAGGGAGAGAGAGTGTGTCTGTCGAGCAGTTCGACGATAAAATGTTTGCTTCGTTATGAGTTTATGCGACAATTATCGTTGCCACTTTTATCGAGTGAAGCGTATAGCGTATCAGTGAGAGACGAAAGAGAGAGAGAGAGAAAATGCCTGAACACCATTGCCCATATAATGGGTGACAATGGCTTAGGATAATTCAAAAATATACGATGCTATTTTAAGGTTTATTTTATATTGCATCTGCACACAAGCACACACTATTCGATCGAGTACAGGTCACAGACGATGAGCAAACAAAGGACAACTGTGTTGTTTCGCATTTATACCGAGAGATAACATCCTTTGGCCATACTCCGTTTTCTTCGAACGACCGATTCTAAGTACCTTTTGCGAAATGTCAAAAGACGAAACGCGTCTAGTGTGTTACGTTTGGCTTCTTCTGAAAGGAAAAACCCTTCAGCTTCATTAGCAAAAACTTCCATTTTTCCGAAGACATCACATGATTTAAATAAAATACTTGAGAGAGAAACTTTGCAATACCGTTTCTATGCATTTGCATGGTATCTTCTTGGAAATCGACTTGACTTTTGTACATTGTTAGCTGAAAAGAGGTTCTCGTTTCCCCATTTAGTTTGATGAATAACGATTCGAACGAAAATTTACGTATTCAAAAGCTAAACAAAGTGGAATTTTGAGTAAATTTTCCAAATGAAAAATGATCCAGAAATTACACGAAGAAATTGAGAAGATGGCAACGTTGACAACAATTTCACATGAATTGAATTTCACTGGGAATTTTATGACGTTCTATTTTGGCAATTTTACTTAATACAGTTGCATCAGCTTGATTTGCTACATAAAATAGATGATGATGCAGTATTTTCGAACGAAATAGTGGCAGAGTATCAAATTCGTTTGACTTTAAATTTCATAAAAATGACATAAGATCCCATGAAAATGCACCAGGAAGTCTCCGGTGACGGCGACGCGGGAGAGAGATGAGGGAAATAAGGAAAACGGCAATTTAAGTGAGCTGAAATAGTATATATGTGCATTTCCGTGAAAAACACTTAAACTGTTCAACGAGCATAAAGATGTTTTAGTGAATTGCCTTATTTTAATAAATTAACATTTTTTCAGGTAACGAAAAGCGAAAAAAACACCAACGGTACTTGCGCTTAGCCGAAACGTATGTCGTTCGTTTTCCGACGAAATGAGATAGAAGCGGCAAAGTTTCGTGTTGCCCCGATTTTATCACGTATACGTGCACGAAAGTTTGAAGCTGGCTCGATATCGGGGAGGGCGCATATTCTAATGGATTCATGTACTGACAAACTGCGTATAAATTACAGGGCAAACGAAAGCCCATTAAATGTTTAGTGTTATTCTCATTTTTTGTTTGTTCTTGTTTCTCTCACTTTCGTTTCGAAGACTCTGGCGTGCTTACCACTTAAACGCTCATTTAGATTTATTCTTAAACGTACGCTGTAGCACGTATCAATTGCGCCAAGCACGATGCGATCGAATATCGTAGATAGCAATAAAGTGACACATAATGCGCGCTACTAAATTATTATTATTTAAACAGGCGGCGAGTGTGTGTGTGTGTCTGTGTTTATGTGACGTGTGTTGGAATTCTCGGGAATTATTTATCAATGAAATTACTCGTTTATAGCAAAGCGATAGAGGATTACACACATATGACGAGAGAAATAAAAATTGTACCCTCGTATGCATATCCCAATGTTTATTCGGAATTTTATATTACCCACTATGCAAACGTGTTTGTATACGGTGTATATATCGCAATTTTAGCCTTACCTTAATCCTTTTGTTTCGCATAAATGCAATTCGCCAAACGCACCGCTGCCAAGCTTCTCGACAATAACCAATGAATGTCTGGGAAATTCGTTCAATTGCTGTAAATCATCGTCGGTCGATGTTGCATCGGTATCATTGTATGAGCTGAGCAGATTTGTTGTAGCCGTCGGTTGTGCTGTTGCTGATAGTGGCATCGTGTTGGTCGTATGAATGTTATTGTTTGCGATACCACCGTTTGGTCCCATCGTCGATGCGGCCGATGTTTTACAAATGGCTGTTGTTGCATAGTATTTTTCGGGCGGTGGCGGTACTGGCGGTGGCTTTGGAAATACCATATTATTCAAAGATGGCGGCGTGTTACGAACGCTCACATAACCACCTGGTATTTTTGGTATTAAATCCTGCATATGTGGCACGGCATACTCTTGGCAAACAATATCAGGAACGTCTGCAAATTCAGAACATTAAATAAATACACAACATCCAAAAATGTGGAAGAATGAAACCGAAAAAAGACAGAAATAACTAGCATAGACACAGCATCAGGGAGTAGAGGCGAACACGAATGGTATGGCGGGTGGAATGGAGCATGAGAGAGAAAGGGATGAAGGAAAAAAAATCCGTCGAAAATATTAATAGAGAGTGAGTGCATTCGAAAGTGGAGAGACATAATAAAAGATATTCGTAATGGAGTGAACCGTAACGAAAGTAGCTGGAGCATATGCGCTCAAATGAAAAATATCAAATCCATTTTTTTCATTCGCAAAACAAACGAAACGGCTAAGTATATTATAATAAAAAATACATATTGTGCCGTTCGTTGTCTTGCACTTTTGCCACAAGACAAATAAAGCTCGAAAATAAAAATGGGCAAATAAAAATATTTTCGTTAAGACAAAACAAAAAAATGCAAACGAGTCGCACTGTACAATTGTTTTTCTTTTTTCGTCTGGAGACGAGGCATTTAGATGAGAAAATGTTCGTTTCTTTGCTCTCGCAACTTTTTTTCTGGCTATCATTCCAAAGACTAATGTGCTTATTTGCATAATGTCTCCGACGTGGGAGTTTATACATTTTGAACTATTTTTTGTTCCTTGTCTCGGTTACTCTATTCGGTGCCATTAAGAAACGAGAGACTGAATTTATTTTCCGTCTGTAACCCGAACCGGCGTCAAAGTAACAGGTGACAGTAGTAAATTTAATTAGGATTATATTCAACACATTGACTATGCATCGATCTCTCCATTAAATCCATCCCGTTTTGCCGACTCCGAGAGCGCGCGCACTCTTCGGCTCGTTTTTTTATTTTTCGGAACACGGCAGTTAGCTTTATTTATGTTTTGGACGCCGGGATCAATTTAAATTATTGGCGGTTGCCAAATGATAATGAAAAAGGGGAAATATGCTAAGTGCTGGCTGCGTGCGTGTGTGTCTGTCTGTGTGTGTATTGTAATTTATAAATGGTTTCTCTGTTACGTTAAATTTACCTGTGTAGTCGGGTGTAACGTGGTTGCGTTGCAAATCGTTAAGCGAACATCCGCTAGCAGCACTGGTGTACATGTTCACATTGAACGGTTCATGATACAAACTACTTTTATCGATCGATTCATTATCGTCCATTGTCACCTAAACAATAGTCACATTAAGAGAGAAAGAGAGAGAGAGAGGGAGAATGTGAATTTTCAATTTTCCGTGTTAAATTTTGCCATTCAAGATCATTTTTGGGTATTAAATGGTGAATGGTGAAATTTTCGTGTGTTTGCACACGGGATTCATGCTCTATAAAACCAGCATAAACAATCAACCGAATGGCGGAGAGAGAGTGTGGTTGTGTGTGCTCAATAGAGCACATTCATGGAAATATCATTTAATTGAAATTTTATGAGCGATGAAATAATGGCATATTAAAATTGATAAACTGATTTCCACAATGATGGAAAATTTCGCTTGAAATCACGTGTAATTAACGTGATTTGGCGCGAAAATCGAAAACTGAATAGCATTTTGGGTTAAAATTTAATGGATTTTGCATTATGATTGGAAAAATTACCTTCATATGATGACGCTTATCGATGCCCAATCCCAGTGTATCTTGGTTGAAATTGTGTTGCAGCGAATTGAGGACGTCGGAGCGTGGTGAGCGTTTGTTTCGTGATACGATAAACATGATGGCGGCCACCAATAGCAGTATTATCGTTGTAAGTAGAGCAATGATGACACCAACATAATGTGAATCTTGATCTCGATCAACTGGTTTCTGATGCACTACAATTTTGCAATGGAACGATATCAGTTTAGTAGTTTTAAATTAGGTCTCTCGAGAGAGACATTTCTCATATGCTGCTCATTCAGCAACAACAAAAACAACGACAAAAAAAAACCTCTTCGACATGATAAAAACAAAACATTCTGATTTTTATTACGAATTCGATTCCGTGCTGTTTTCCATATAATGACATTTTTCATTCTGAAGTGCGCGCACTCGAGTGTGTATCGAGTCTTGTAAATGGGTATGTTTTTTTTCTGTCCTCCTGCCGATAGTGCCGGTACAACGCGTTTGACAAAAACGTGATTTATTGAATCTAAAATCAGCAAACTCATACTGCATTTCTTTGGCATTTGCCGAAACACAATCGACAACCTGTTGTGAGTTTTTCCAACTTTGATTTATATGAAATCATAAAAGAAGCGTCTTTTGTTCGGTATACAGTCAGAGAAAAAAAAAACTCAACTGTGTGACTGCAATGGTGAATGGAATGAAGCTGGAACAAATGGAAGAGGGAGAACCAAAAAAAAGAACACATCGAATCACAAAGCGATTGTGACGTGAAATATTAAAAATGAATCGATGAAATCCGATGTCGAACAAAACAATTTGCGGCTATGAAATCAATTTATAATAAAAGTCACAATAAATATGTGCGGCGTGCCACGCACACACACAGCGAATGGAAAAATAGGCGAAAGCATAGACCATTCGGAATGGAGTGAAGACGATATGGAGTAGAAGAAAAATTCCCTCACATCACGGTGACACCGACCGCGACAAGATTTGTACAAACGATAAAAATGTCGAGTTTTGCGACGTCAACCTCAGAGTGAAAGAACACAAGAAAAATGATCGAATGTTGGATCGCACACAGAACCAACGAAAAAGAGAAAGAGAGAGCCAGTGTGCGCCTTGAGCCAAACATATACATACCCGGCGGTATTTGGTGATTGCGATCTCCTTTGGTGTTCTGTGTATGAACTTCGTCACGTTGCAGGGGGTATTCTAATGTATCCTGCGGCACAGTGTTACCGTTTGCCTCCTCCTCACTGAAATTACCAACGACTGGTGCTAAAATGACAAACGAAACAAAAAACGGAGAGAAAAAACACATGAAAAATAGCAAACAAATATAGCCTGCACCAATATTCCAAGCCGATACCGGCACACGATACACGACAACAACCAAAAATATAATCATAATCAAACATATGAAATATTTTGCGTCCAACACAAAAAGAAGCGTCGAGCGCGAGAGCGATGCCGAGTGCAATTTTCGCAAGAGCTTTTTTCGCCTTCTGTCCTCGGCTACAAAAGAATGGAATACATGTTGTTTTTTTGTCCGCGTCTTTTTTCCCTTTCGTTCATTCGTATTGTTTCGGAATTTGCGTTTAATAAATGAACAAAAAAAAATCGCAAGAACAATAACAAAGGAGTTGCTAAATGAAATTGCTTGATTGGTATTGCTCTCGCTTGTGCCACAGCTTATTATGGTGGGTGTTGTTGTTGTTGTTTTTTTTTTTGGTTTGTTCAAATGAAATGAATACACCGACATTTGTTGCGAGTACTGAAAAGCTCGACAGCATTTTCCCTTGTTTTTAGATTATTATTTTGTTTGTTTTTGCCCAGTTCTTCTGCCGGGCGGTTTTTAAAAGCAATTTTTATTGAGAATGAAAATGGCTTTTGTTGGGTATGGAATTTTTTCGCCGGTCGTGGTTATATTATTTGCAACGGAAAATGCCATCGGCGTCTCGGTTTTTTCGATATTTTTGTATCGTAGCCGCTTGATCGGTCACATTGGTGCTGCTCGGCCGACTGTATGGATATAAACCGTGAGCTTGTGTGTGTGTGTATTTTTTTTGTTTCTGTCGAGTGGCTTACCCGTAACAAAGGTCACTTCACTTAGCATAATCCAACGCAGCGCAAAGTACAAGTGCACTTGTACGTATTTCCCAATGCGATGATGTAATTTAATGGTAACGTCACGTGCATTTTCCATTACTGTGTCTGGCATGTATGAAAAATGTACGGGTTCACCGTTGAAATGCTGTCCACCGATGCTGAAGAACACCTTTGCATGTGTGAATACCTGTGTGTAAAATGAAACGAAATCAATGAGTATTGAGCGGGAGAAGAAAAAACTGGACGAAACGCCCATTTTATATTGAAATGGAATGACAAAAACGCATTCAATAAGCACATTTACGGTTCAACTGACCGTTTCAATTCGATGGCAAATAAAACGCAAAAGCCATAGCAACGCGCACGCGAGCAAACGAACGAATGTGGATGTGTGAGTGTGTGTATGGTGGAATTCGAGAATGGGGCCGACGCACGAAGATGTCATATATTAGCTATCTGAAGATGCAATTCAATAAAATTACAAGCACACTCAAGTATCGATAATGCATCGATTTCAAGTGTTGGCTGTCAAATATACACTCAAATTGGCATCATTCTCTACATCATTTTCACTTAATTACAGTCATTGACTAGCGATACACACATATGTATATAGACCGGCGAGATGGCTTTTCATGTCACACATACGATGATTTACACAGATATTTAAGACATTTCTCATAATTTCGATTCACTGTTGTTATCACACAAACACTCCATTTACATCGACCACTTACATCATTTTTTATGTTCATATCGATCGCACGTGATTTTGTAATCGTTAGTAAAGTTATCTCTGGTTCGAAATTCAATTCACTCGATATTTTAATGATGTGTACAACTTTTCCCGAACGAAAGAATGAAAGAGCAAGAGGAACAAAAAGAAATGAGAGCAACTGGAACTATCTCAAAAATCAATTGTCGCAAATCAATGCAATCGAGTAAATGGCAAAATGAAATGTCATGGCACTTCGACAAAGAGCGTTTGAATTTGAATACCATGCTATGTGTGTGTGTGTTTTTTTTCACGATCTGGTAATATAGCGAAATACACATTTTGCCAACCCGTTGACAAAAGGATATGTGAGCTGAGCGAAAAGTTTTGAAATTCCAACGAATGCGCTTGTTAAAATTGGTTTCGTAGATTTGGTTTTGAGCGAGCGTAAGAGAGAGAGAGAGAGAAAGAAGTAGAAGAACCGAACGAAAATTTAAAAGTAACAACGAGGAAATGTCAAAGAAAGGCAACGCTATGTAAAATTCAACTTTTATTAACAGAGTCAACATTTTCCCATATTCCCGGAGAAAATGAGCAAAGCAAGAAAGAGAAGAAAAAGGAAAACACACACACTCACGAAACCAAGTAAATATGCGTTTTCACCAAACCAAATATGTTTTTTTCCATTTCAGTTGAAACTGCCAAACTATGGAAAGTTGCTTCGGCAAGCGCTGTTTCTGTGTAAAATGTAGGTCGTTTATCATTCACCCATTGCTAACCGTTTCGGTTTTTTTTTCTCCCTCTACGGAGTTTTCCTTTGCCATTTCCATAGTTTGCCAACTTCCATCGAATCGACATCCCGAATCGACTCATTGAAACTCCTGCCATTTCCCAGTTTTTTTTTCTTCTTCTTTCAAATTATAAGAATTTTGTCATACATTTTCATATGCGATTTGTTGACTTCTTCAATTTTTTTGTTTTTTGCTTTCTTTCTCTAGATTTGTTGATTGGTATAATCGCATGTCATGGTTTGGTCTTTGTTTTTCCACTTCGGTTATCTCGTTAACAAAACAGCTTCAACATTTTTTTTTAAGTTCGCTGAAACTTTTCCTACTCTCTGTCGGTCTCTCTCTCTCTCTCTCTCTCTCTCTCTCTAGATCTTGAAAACATTTCGATTTGCTTTTTGCTTCCTCTGTGTCTCTTCCGCTGTGTATGTGTGTGTGTCGTTTTGATAGAAGAAGCTATTTCTTAGCTAAAAAAAAGTCATTCTTGAGTTGTGCGCGCTTGAAAATATGTAATTTGAATTTTATCATACGAATTTCATGTTGTTCCTTTGTTGTTTTAGTTGACTGTAACTTGCAGACCCACTTTCTTATGAAGACGACAGAGAGCTCCAAGTAATCTCTCTCCACTCTCACTCTCCTTCGCTCTGGTTCTCGGACATTTTTTTCCCCTCTTCATCGTTCTGTTTGACAATGCCAAGGTATTTTGTTTACTTAATGTATTCTCTTTCGTGTTCATTCTTTTTATGGATTTATTCATAACTTCTTCTTCTTGCACCACCAGTTTTTTTTTTCGTTCGTTCATACAGTAGCTTTGTGCCTTTGTTCCATCATTTCATCTGGTCGCTTCGAAAGATGTATGTGTTTTCTTTCGTTTTTTCGGTCGCCTTTACAATGTTGAGCAACAATGATGCTCCGCAGTGGAAGAATAAAGCAATTATTTATGCGTAATTGAAATATTGCCCGGAAGACGTAGCAAAATAAAAAGTCGAACCACTTTTGTGTGTACATAAAGTAAAATTAAAATTTCCTAAAACAGAAAATGGCAACACAAAGTATTTTACGTTGAACGAAAACACACACAGGTAAAGAAAAGTTTCTTGTTCCTGATGCAATAGCAAATTTTGCGAGAGTTGAAAGAGAGTTGTGTGTGATAAAAATGCGAAGCATACGAATCTCTCGTAAAACAATTAGAAAACCATCAATCGCAGCCCACCTCAACATGCACGCCAAATATAATTATAAATGCTATTTAATCATCTTTTCCCCGTTGTTCCCACATCGTTATTCCGTTGCGTATCATTACTTGGCTGCCGGTAGGCAACGTCCATTTCTCTCTATCAAATCGAGCACGAAGCGCTCTCAGACTTAATCTAATGCAATAATAAAAAGCATTTGGTCTACTTACCGCTACATCCTTCGAGAACATGTTATTGGTGTGCAGTACAATGGAGCTGAAATTTCGCACCGAGTCAAATTCGAATGTCATTTCAACAGGTTTACCGGCCATGCCCAGTGAATCGTTTCGCCAGCCAACCCATTCGTAACCTATTTTGTGGGATGAGAAAAGTGAGAATGTGTATGTTTGCAAGCAATTAGAAAATAGCAAATAAATAAATTTCAAAGTGAATTCAATTAAGAGGCAATAACAATCATCGTCATTATTTCGTTAAAGTCAATTAAATCGGTCCAAATGGAATCGTAAATTAAAGTTAAAATCCTCTCCGACACGCGTCTCGACACGTCAAGCACGAGAAGCATATTGAACAGCCATAATTCTCGACTGTTTAACGTAGTAAATCACAATTAAAACTGGTCGACTGCGAAAAAAGAGAGCACATGATTTCCGTCTAATTTACTCGCATGAGAAGGATTCACGTTTTCGCTTAATCGGATCCGAGAGACGTTTGCAATCTTATCATTTTGAGATGAATACCAAATGTTTGCTTTCATGTGAGCACTGAGCACACATATTGCAACAAAACGGACATTATCTATGGACAAAAACCCCGTCCGATCGACGGAGAATGTTTTGGCGTTGCTTTTTTTCTCGCCTTCATGTATCAGTAGCGAAAATTGATGAATTAATGAACATCAAGTGTTTATCGTCTTGGTCCATTGTTCATGTAAATGGACGATTGGCGTTCGCACACGCACACAATGTGCTCTCTGCTCTCCCTTGTGAGCCGAACATACGATAGCATCACTTAAGTGAGTGATTAGATCGAAACAAAATTTACGGCTCTATTTTATTATTCGTGTACAAGTAACGCACATTAATAAAATCCTCTTGTACACGTTTATGTTGGCAACAAATGGATCGGTATCCACTTTCTCGGACGTGAAGGGGAAGAGAGAGAGAGTGAGGCAATGAGCTTGAGTGAGGGCAAGCACATTAATCGGCAAATACAACAGGAATGTCGTGCATTCGAATGGGTCGAATTGCGCCACATACACACACCGATCTCACTAATCGCAATATGAATTCAATTTCATTTTATTACATTGCTTGTGCTGCCATTCGGATTGTTTGAGGATATGTGCTCGCCTTGGCGCACACTTGAACTACCGTTTTGTCTGCCATGTTCTCGCAGTTTCTCTTATCGATTTGATGATGATGACGACGACGGTGATGCACGTCGTGTCCACCACCACCACCACCACCACCACCACCACTACATTCGAATGTGTAGTAGCAATTTTATGGGAGCCATGTTTTCCTATTCTTCTCTATCGCTTTTTGCGCTCTTTCATTCTTTTATGTTCATGCTCTCGGACACTTGACATGGATTCACTTACGTGAAGCTCGCCGCTGACGTCGTCGTAGTCTTCGTCTTCAATAGAGGTATTGTGTGTCAGAGTAAATGATTTTGTCGGTGAGTGAAAGAAAAATGCTTGAAATTCGTTCGATTGAGAGTGCACGATTTTTCACATTCGAATTTCGATGTGCACGCCATGGCAATGGCCAGCAACGTCAAATAAATGACGTGCTTGTGGAGTCACAGTGAAGCGCGCATAAAGCCGAATGAGAGGTCAAAGCAAATGACCGCATCAACTGAGAGAGACTGATGAATATAATTTCATTGCCAATCTATTGGAGCGCTTCCAAGCGCCATAAATCTCGCATGCACCCGAATTTCAAAAATACCATACAACACTATTTGATCCGTTGCACTCGTCGCTGGACTGAAGAAGAAAAAAAATGAGTCTGCCCTTCAAATTTAATAATGCTAATGGAAGAATTCCAAAAACGCTGTGCACGTTTGTCTGCCATTTTATGGGTGTAGTTCCGGTTTCCTTTATCTCTCTGTCTCTATCTCGGCAATGAAAATTTTCTTTTTGTAACCCGATTGCCCGATCGACAAATAAAAACCATGCCACCAATTTTCAAATATAAAGCAAACGAATGAACAGAGAAAAAAATTGACTTTATTTGCAAAGGAGTTGAAGATATGAAATAATTAATGATGTGACCGGACGAGAAACAAATTGATAGCAACATTGATCGATAAACTTGTGTGTGTGTGTGTGTGTTGCATGTTGAAAAGCGTGACGAAATCAAGCGATACGATAGCAAAGTTTTTCGCCAAACTATAAACAGTGACCAGTAACTTATTTTTATTTGCAAAACTTCATCTTGCGCCAAACATCATCGAAAGAGGTTTTTTTCCCTTTTTTCGTTTCGGTGCGTTTTGGTAATTCACATAAATTCATCTCATACTCTCTGTGTGCGAACTTTTTTCGCTCGCTCTCTCTCTCTCAGTTTGGTTCGGTCAAGCATATCCCGAATATTCGATATGATGTTCGCATTTTTCGCTTCAGTTCTAGCTTTATTTTTCGTTTGGCATCTTTACAACGTCTGTGTATTCCCGAACATAATATTTTCTTTAATTTATCCAAAAAAAAAAAAAAATATGGCATAAACTTATTGGACGGCGACTGAAATCGTCTGCTAACTTCAGACACATGGGAATAGTTTATTTCGTTTTTTTTTCTCTCCGTCGAATGTTGAATATAATTCAAAAACTCCGTTTCTCTTTAAAGTTTTTCATTTTCATGCATTACCTTTTCCATATCCATGAATGTCGGTGCGGAAATTATCGGTTCCTCGTTGTCCATCCACTAATTGACCCAAGCCACTAACTAATCGGTCGTTTTCATCATGACCGTCATATGTTTGATCCGATAAATCGATTTCCAGTCCACGCTGAACACCTTTTGGGATGCTGTACGAAAGTAAACCATCTGAAAAGAAATAAACGAAAAATGAAGATAAAATCCAATCAATGAAATTACTTAGGCTACTTTTTTCGAATGATATTTCATGTCAATTTATTTATGCAATTTAAATTGTTGCCTACGTCAAATTGCTGCCTTTTCTTTACAAATTGATGACTTTTTCGCCATTGAATCGCCTTTTTTCGATTTATTCCAAGTTGGAAGTTTTTTTTTTTCAATTCCAAATAACATATTGCTCCGTTAACATAGACTAAACAAGTGTTCAATGAAGCATCTCGATCGGGAATACATTTGTTTAATATTGGGTTTTTTTTTTCTAATGGAGAAATCTCTATAAGAGAAATGGAAGTGATCATCAAAGTAAATGCTTCCCGTTTGTATGGTAGGGAAAAAAACCCTTAAACAAATAAACAATATTTAGATTCAAGAGAGATCGAGGAAGAAAAGACACGAAACCATTAAATAAACATTGAGCGTGTGTGTTTGGTGCATGTCAATGCCATGTGGTTGATGGAGCAAAAGTTTGGCATTTTAAAAAAATGACTCCGAATCGCAGTCAACATACAAGCGAAAAAAAAATGTTGCATACACGATGAGATTTGTTTACGCTCAACATAAGATTTGTAACGGTTTAATAACTTGTTTATACTTTGTTGCATGTTCCTTTCGTCAACAAACACTCACTCACAGTATGCGGAAGCGATGTGTGGTTTTGAGCAACCGAAAAAAGAGACACAACAACCGAGAAAAAAAAAACGAGAACAAAACCATTTCAAAACATAAAGAAAAAGAAACAGTTGAAAAGTGATTTTGAAGAAAAAGGAGCCGTTGATCTGAGCAACTTTGTTTCTTGAGTCGGTCGAGCATCTGCGTGTGACTAATTATGTTGTCAATGCGCTTAATGAGTGCTATATATACTACACGATTCCTTAATCGATACAAATCACAAAACCGTGGAAATCGTACGATAACAAAAACCAAGTTGAGCGAGTGCCTTAATGGCATCTGACTGTGACAAGAGGTGGAGAAAAATGCGTGATCATGATTCAATCGCAATCGGATTTTTTTCCTCTTCTTTCTCTCTCTCTCTCTCTCTCTCTCTCTCTCTCGCTTAAATGCGTGATTCCGTCCATTTAACAAAGCAAAAGACGTATTCAATTCGGTTAAAATAATTCGTTACATGTTTCACCAAATTAAAGAGGCGAAAAGAAACGAAACGAAACCGTTTACAAAAATAATAACGTTCCATTTTTTTTTCTCGTTCGGTTCGAATTTTTCAATTAAGAGCGGCAAGACAACGAAAATCCCATTAAATTCATTCGCCTTGTTATATTCGATGTTGGACACCAACAACAAAACAAGAAGTGGCATGGTGACATGAGACACAATCTAAATTGAATGAGCGTTGCGGATAAACGCAAGTGCAAAATCCCCAGCACATACGCCAAAGGCAAGCGAATCAATGAAAGCAACACAACAGCCAGCACACAAAATGTCAAAACACACTCACACACACACACAAACCGAATCAATTCAGTGACTGTAACAACAATAAAAGGCCAACAAAGAACAACGAGATGCAAGTCGATGTTCACAGGCCAAAACATTTTGTTTATTGAATGATCCTGTTGTTTGGTCGCACAGCATGCGATCAAATAATGAAATGTTATAATAAAAAAATAAAAGACAATTCGCTTCGGTGTCCAAGACATCAAGCTTGTGTATATGTATGTCTGTGTGTGAGTGAGAGTTGGCTGTCGGTTTTGGCTTGTCTTGCATGCGTTTTCGAACGCCCGCTAAGTCACGACTAAATGGATGTGAAACCATGGTTCTCACATCTCATTATCCGAATCTGTACAACAAGACACGAATCCAACGACGACGACCGACCAAAGCAATTGAGAGAGAATGTGTGTGTGTGTGTGTGTGTGTGTGTTTAGGTGGAATCGAACACAAAGCGCAGTTATTTTGCACCAAAGAAAATCAAAACAGAGAAATGCCATTCAGCCCGATATATGTATGTGTACGGAATTGAATTAAATGCAGCCGCATTCAATATACTGGATCAAGTGAAAAGACGAACACAAAAGAGCACACACGATCTGAGTAGGCATTGGACATGTGGCATACCACACGGTGCGTTTGATTGTGTTATCAAATATTCCATGAAATCACACAGCATGTCTCATTCTAGACCACACTTTCTACAGATGCCATATCGCTAAAGACGCCATATATTGCAAATTCTGTGAATGCCGACAACGATGCAAAACATCATATTGACTTGGGGTGAACTAATACATGGGCCTTTGTTATTATGCCTAGCATTTTGTTTAATATAATCAACATTTGAGCCACAGTTCTGTTGCGCAAAGTTCAATTTTGATTCAATTTTCAAGTGTATTTTAGCTTAGACGTCTTCCAAAATGGGCTTTGCTGGGTTTTGTGTTACTGATTTGTTTCAACTTTTTAGTGTTTTTCTCTTTTTCACAATCGTTGAAATTGAATCTTGAATGTTTTTGGGTATTTTTCATTCTTTTTCGCAAAACAAGCGATAGAATCTGTGGGCGAAATATAAAATACGGCCTTTGAAAAAGTGAAAAATAGAAAAACTTATCAAACTCAATGGCCAAAAAGTAAAGTGAAAGTCAAACTCATTCATTGCATACTAAGATCCTTCGTTATCTCAATGCAAATTTTGGTCTGATGAACCGAAATCCAGACTAAGTTTCAAATTGTAAGTCTCAACCAAACCGATAACACGCACATTCAAAGGAAACAATAAGCGAAAATGTTCTTCGCCTAATTCTGAATCGCACGATATCTTTTTAGCTCCACAAAAGAAAAAGTGCTGTGCGTTTTATTTCTTGTTGATTTGAGATTGTTTCGCATTTCCATTTAGAGCCGTTTATGGCGACAGCGAGACATGTAAACTTGGTTGTTCGCGCATTTGTCTTTTTCGATGCTCGAAATAAAAGAGCAACAGAGTCCAATGACGACAAACCGAAAAAGAAGAGATGAAGAAAGAGAGAGAGAGAAAGAAGTTCAAGCATCGTGTTTATATTTTCCATGTAACAAGATTACGGATTACCTTTAATTTATCGTATTTTACATATTCATTAGCATGTTTATGTTCTTATGGTTTTTAAAGGGCAACAAACTGTTCAGGCTCATTTGCATTTTCGGCATTGCCACTGCGGCCGTCGTCGTAGTCATCGTTGCTGTTGCTGCCATTTGCTGGTGGCTGTGGTCGATTACGGCACATGCCAATGCCGCCGACTGAGTGAAAATAGGCAATTAATTAATTGGATTCACTTGGAATAGATTTCTTTTTCGGGCGCACCGCTCGCATCGCAGTCGAATGAAATGAAGCGTAACGAAATCAACATTCTGACTGTGACAAATGATTTTTTGATAGTATTCTTGAGCTTGTGTATGTGTGTGTGGATTGTGGGTTCGTAAATTAGGTTTTGATGACGGTTTTTGTCATTTCGTACGAGTCAAATTAAACATTTCGTACGGGAAATGCGGTCATTATTTCTAACAAGAATTTGAATTTCGTGTGTTTTCTAACACCATATTAGGAAGTTGGGCATTTGTAATTGAATATTCTTTTTTTTGGGTTTTATCAAATTGATTAATAAAGTTTTTTCGTCAGTTTGAATTTTATGGCAATAAGCAATTTGCTTGTGTAATAGCCTGGCATATATGTGTATTCAGATGTTGAATGCTTACCGGTCCATGGGCAGCCAACCAATTCGACTCGTAAACAAACCGTTCGATCATACTGACTGTACGGATAGATGCGGACTTTCGATGCGATTATTATCGGTTGCAAGATATTCTCCACCTCACTGTAGGTGTTGATGTTGCCAGTCAAAATCTGGAAGAAAGTAAATTTACATATATAAAATTAGATGACCAATTTGAATGAAATAGCAATTTTAGTTAACATTATGTTTGACAAAAAAAAACAAACACGACAATATTATTCCGAGAAAACAACATTTTGAATCGATTGGATTTAATAGTAAACGATTCTATGAATAGTTTACGATGTAAAAAGTTAGATTCAACAAAAGTTTAATTGAAATATTTCCCAAACTATACACAGAGCTCTGTTGAAATCCGAAATGACGGTAGCAAATTGAATTTCAGCTTGAGACTTACCTCTTTGTTTTGGGTATTTTTCCAGCGTTCCCACTTTGTGAAACCGGGGCGCCAGTACTCGACGACGTATGCTTCAGTATATTCCTGTCCTTGACCACGTCCAAATCTCCCTTGCGATCGAATCGCGCTGATTACGTGCATTTGGAGCAAATCAATTTGTAAGTATTCCTTAAGTCCACGTGATACGATATGCTTCGGGCACCAAGCGCCTCCATTGTTATCGACCTTTAATCTGCGAGAAAAACAAAACAAAAAAATGCGGAAGAGAAAAAAAATTAATTTGGTATTTAATGAGACCCATTGAATAAAATTATAAGAACCACTCCAATATTTTGTAATGAGCTTCACGTTTCGTGCAATATGTTGGGTTCAATGCTGGCTTCACTTCTTCATTATGAAGTATTTTGAGAATTTCAAACTTAACGACCAATTACGACATGGGTTTGACGAAGCATTTCAGATCATAAATATTTTTCTAATTCATCATTCAATGAATCGGATACCAAAATTGTAGATGACGAAATTGGAAAAAAGCGAAAAACAATTTTGCACGCTCTTATCAAAAATCGAATGAATATAATTGAAATATTTATGGTCAAATATAAATAGTGGTGAAATGACATGTGTGACCTGAATCGAGTTTATTGATGAAATCGTTCGTTGTTTAGGAAATGAATACGATCGAGAAAATAAGGCGAGAGAGTGAGAACTAAGTGGAAAAAGTAATTTGTTCCGTCGAATCGATTTTCCTTTTTGGAAAATGGTGTTTGTCAAAGTGAATCAAGTACATATAAAATGAAAATAGGCGTATGCTTTCGGATATTACGTCATTCGATTTCGAAAAAGGTAATATTCCATCCAAATAAATCATTATTAGCCGAGTATGTTGCTGTGAGGCTGTGAGAGTGAGTTCAAAGTTCGTGTAGTGAAATTCATGGCCTTCATTTCCATTTTACAGCTCAAAATGCATAAATTAGTGGGTTATAAAAAGAAAGTAAGCTGAATCTTGTGCTGATATATGTGCTATGGCAAATGCTGGATTGAAGAAAAAACCCTTGGAATTTCTTTCTACTCACAATAAAGTGGATTTGTTTGGAATTTAGATCAATATTTGAATGAAATGAGATGTATATATTGCGCGTTCGTGTCGGCCGCAGTGGAAGTTCATAAATTTTTCAGTCGCCATGTTTTCTCATTTCAGACTCGGTCGGTCTCGCCTTTATTTTACCACGAAATTCCCTTGAATTATGGACACTTACACACATCATCATAAACAACATTATTACACTGGTTGCCATTAAAAGAATTATACGCGTGTCGTAAACGATGTGGCCGCAAAATCATGCGTTTTGTGTTGTTAAAAGTCGAATTTTTCGTAGATTTTTTCCTTTGTCCTTTTTCTCTGATCCTCATTTCGAGGCGATAAAAACTGAATTGGAATTTTCTGAACTTGTCATCATTAAAATAAAAAACAAGACCGAGTCGAGCCCTGTGGCGAGTCAAAGGCAGAAAGAGAGAGAGAGAGATAGAGAGAGAGCGAGAATGAGCTTCGAACTGAAATATCAAAGCATACACATATGTGCTTTTCTTCTGTAGGCGCCTCATGATTATTTTCGTAAAACGTCCAGTCATAAATCGTACATTTAGGTGAGTTTTTATTAGAGTGCCATAATTCATGCCCCGGCAAAAATCGATAAATTCATATTGATGTGTATGTTGCGAGAGGCGCTTCGCGCGAACCACACATCGTAATCTGGTCACATAAATAACACAACGTTGAAGAACGAAGAATTATTCCGACGCGAGGAAAAAAAACCGACTGCGATTCGTAAATTGAAAATGTAGAGCACACAAATATATTATATATGTGATCGATTGAGCTCAAATTATAATTGAGCTGTTATTTTCCATTTTGACCTGGATTCACCAAGTGAATTTCACATTCATTTGCACTGTACGTGGAATTGAATGTTCTAAGAATGGAATCGCTCCGACCAGAAATACACCCAACAAATAGCAAAACACCGAGAAAATGAGAATAGTAAAAAATAGAGAGAGAGAGCAAGCAAGCAAGCGAGCTGCAATTACGGTTTATCATTTGGAAATTCGAATAAAGAAAATCCATGCGCTGGGATATGACACGAATTGTCGTTTAGCGTCACAAAAGACAGTGCCATTCAAATATATGTTCGTATCAAATATCGAGATTGTCGTTAGGTTGTTATTCTAATAGGTAAGTATAGTGCTGTTCGGTGTCTATGTGTGCCTGTATACTATGTTCGAAGCAGGTGAAATATTAAATTGCAGCAAACATTCTGACAGCCATTATGCTAGTTGAATAGAGCACTGAATCGCGCAAGTGTACACCTTGTGCTGAGCAGTAACGCTTGCTGCTGCTGCTGCTGCTGCTGCTTCGAATGAATATTCGTTCGTCATTTTATCTCTTTTGCCTGGCAGTCTTTTGTACTGCTGCTGCTGCTGCTGCTTCGACGAGCGTATGTGTATGGCAATTTAAAGACAGAGCACATTATGCATCTCTGCCATCGTTTGGCTTAATGATATGCTTGTATGTGGCGCGCACGTTAAGGAGCACCGGTGCACGAAACCAAACATTTTCCATCTCTCGCACATAATAATAAGACAAAATGCGTCTTATTTGTGCTCGAAGTGATAGAAAATACAGCAACAGCAACATCAACGAGGGAAAAAGAACGCACATCTCCACCAGAAAAGCGATTGAAAAGCTTAAACGACGTTACTCCTTTTTGGCTAGCGTGCAAATCGGTTCGCAACAATGACAAAGCCAAGCAACGGCATCGATGCTTATCTCTTCTCTGCTTGCGCACACATATGGTTTGCAACCGAAAAAGTTTCGGTGTCGATGAAAAGTGAGACTTTTTAGTTCTCTAGACAAAAAAAAAACACTGTGAACACACGACTGAGTGGATGGCGAACGTGGAGAAAGAAGAAAAAAAAACCATGAACGCATTGAAAGCACATAAAAATTAGCATAAAACTGCTCGAGACGATATCCTTTTTTTTCTTTAATAGTTCTAGACTAGCTGAGGAATTTCGGTCGAGTATCACACTAACACGATGAGAGCAGACAGTCGAATGCAAAAAAAAAAATCTATCAAAATTTGCATTTACCTCGCATAAAGCAAAACATGTGCCAATGGGAAAAAAATCGATATTTGTATTGTGTCGCCCGGCAAACTTTCCGACACCCATATTCATTTACTGCACTTTCGCATGGCATTCCGAATGCCAAGATACGGTTACAGTCGAGTTTTGAAAGTGAAAGAAAAAAACGAACGCGACGAAGCAAAAGTTGGCGCTGTTTTCTTCAAGAAGAAGCCGCATTATGCAAACGACACTTATTGCCGTCTGTTCCGAACGAATCAAGTCGATTCGCATTTATTAGGCGCGTAGCGATGATGAAATAAGAACCATTCTACCTGAACGACATTGCCGACATCGTGCAAATTCGAAACAGCAAAACTCCATGTAATTGCAATAATAATCATTTATATAAAATGGAATTGGCAGCATTCGAACGTCTGATCGATACACACAACATTCTCTTCTCTTTTCAGCATCCTTTGCTCCAGCGTCAAGTACTTTTCGTAACGAAAATGGATGGATAATAAGCCAAGAGCGTCGAGAAAAATAGTCAATTATTTATGACATGAGCGGCGAGGCAATATTGAAACATGACACAATAATGTTCGATAGCACTTTACGTGTGCGTTTTTTTTTGCTTCGCAAGACACGCAGCCCTCACAACGCATACCGTGTTTGCATATTCATAAAATATGTGCTTGAACATACACATTCTTTTACCGTTCGACGTGCGTCGACCATTTCCACAGTTCATTTCAACTTTGCAGTCGAATATTCTGGTGTTGTTTTTTTTTTTTTGCTTTTCTTTATTATAGTTTGCATGGCAATTTTTCTCCCCTTTATGCCAACAGCCACGAAAAAAAAACAAATCCATTTTTCATTACAATCGGTTTGCTTGTTCATTTCAATATTCCAGCTCTTCTCATATTGTGCGGCATTTTTTTTCTGTGTGTGAGTATGTACTCACAAATTCTATGGTTGTTTTTGGCCTATGCTTTCGATCGTTAGTTATGTGCATAGATTTGCAGGTATCAAGTTTCACTTCGCAACGAAAAAAATAGTGCGGATATAGAATAAAAACAACACCATTGAACTTCTGTGTGCGGTAAAACTTCATTGCGATTATTTGTGTGTGTGTATGAAATGCGGGAATGAGTGAGAACGAGATAGAGTGAGAGTGCGAGAGCGAAGCCATTGGCGGAATATAGTAGCAGACGGAATATCGCGCGTATTTGTAATAATCATAAATTATGGCAACCATTCACAGATATGGAACGGGTGGAGGGAGGCGAAAATACACAAAAATAAAAGAAAACAGTTAAACATGGCGAATATTTATGTTCTTGAATTAAAAACGAATTCATGCGTAACGGAGTACCTTCATTTGATGAAAATAACGGTACTTTGCATGTGCTCTTTCTCTCTCTCTCTCTCTCTTTCATTCTTTCTCTCTTGATTTTTCGCTTTTTTGTCGAAAGCCCGGCTCACACTCCTTGTCGCATTCTCTCTCGCTTTCTTTCTTTCTTTCTCTCTCTCTCGCTTGCGCGCTATCTTCCACGGTTTAGTTTCTCTTGTAATGAAACTTGAGTTCCTCGTATTTAACTTTCAGGTGGAAATAAAACAAAACTTTGATATGAGTTTTCATATCGAGTAAACTTGGGCGGGCGCAGCTTGATTGTGAAATATGCAAACGGGCCAAATAGTTTGATTAAACGCGATGATTTACAATTCAAGTTCATTTGGGCGAATATCGGATTGTTTAACCAGAGGGCAGTGAGCCATAGCACTCAACTTCAAGTGTCGGTAAAATGTTCCAAAGAAAATTTCCCGTTTGAAATGAAGAAGAAAAAAAAACACTTCCATCTGCACAGCTCGCGCTCTCTTTGAGAGCGAAAATTCGTACTTAATTAAATTGAGATCAAAATGTTGAATATTATTTCAATTAGAAATTGCGAATGGTAAATAGAACGCGTCGACATCGACGAGAAAATCGGGCCAAAATGCAAATATTGTTTGTTAAAAATGGATTCATCATCATTTTGCCCGTGTGTTTGCATTAATTGTATTGACATTTTGCTGGCGCATTGAACTTGTCATATCTTTGTTAAA